AGACAGTATAAATAATACAATGTATTGAACGACATCAGCTATATGTTTCTATTTTATGTGAACCGATGCCTCACATAAAGTATTTCGAATAATGTCCCAGCGCACGCAATATTCTCAATCTAATAAGAATCACACAAAAAGAATACTAAAAATGAGATCGCATTACTTCAACTCAAAATCAGATTTAATAAGATTAAATTTTCTGCAAGAAAATTTATTCTATTAGAGATGAAATAAAACAAAGCAGAACGCTCATTGTGATTGATAAAATGATCGCTGATAATTCTGCTTCGTTTTATTTTCTGATCACATACCTTTTTCTTGATAACAAAAATTTGGGAGATTCCAACTATGTGTTTTTGTAAAATAATAAAAATTGTAAAGAATTAAATATATATTTGAAAACTGAAATTATATTCCTGATTTGTATTAAAAATCACTATCAAAAATCAAGTATCAATGAACTCTACCTATTTCTTAAAAATTCGCAAAAAGCCTAATGTTGGTGTTTTGCTATGGTAGGCATACTTAAGTTAATTTGGTAATTTTAAATGCATCTAGCCAAAGATAAAATTATTTTCCAAAGACACAAGTTAGGAATCAAAACCAATCAGCAATAGTTGCGCCAACGATAGAATGAGTTAGTGAGAGTCCTACAAATAATTGTTGTTTCGAATATGATTTCTGGTCGTTGCGCCCTGGTCATTTACCAAGTCCACCAGATGGGTGGAGGCCAGGGCAGTCGCTCCTATTGGTTTGGATTATCTTCATCGTTGTCCACTGGACTCGGCGACAGAAATTTTCTAACATACTTTGGATAGTGCGTTTTCTCGTGGGCTTTGAGTATTGTCGAACGCGAAAATGTCTTCCCGCAAAGTGCACAACGAAAAGGTCTTTCGCCTAACCGAAAAGGGATAGTAGAAATAGTTATTAATAAAAATAAATTAATTATGCTAATAACTTCAAAAGATGTTTTAGAGGATTTTTCTCTAGAGTAATTAAGTTATCCATTACATTTACTGACCTGTATGTACTCTACAGTGGTCCTTCATATGATGCCTCAGTTTAAAAGCCTTCCCACAAAACTCGCATTTAAACGGACGGTCTCCCGTATGTACAGGCAAATGTACAATCAAAGATGACACGTCCGGAAAACTCTTTCCACAAAATTTACACAAAACCACACCGCCAGCTTGTTCCACTGATCCCGAAGTCGTCGTAAAATCCATTTCCAATCCACTAGGATCATGAGCATCGTGTGAATGTTCCATAGATCCTGATCCTTCGTGCCTGCTGCTTTCGTCTACTGGTAGAGAAGCGTTTCTGGCAAAACTGGGGTCCATCAGATTGAGGGGCTCACAGACTCCAACTCCCAGGGAATATGCCAACGTGTGCCTGAGCTGAGCCTGCTGCTCTCTGTATTTCAGCGTCTCTAGACTATGCGACAATATATGCCGCGTCAATTTGCTCTGATGAGGAAACGCCGCGCCGCAATAACCGCACGAGTATAGTCGTGGCGAAGAACTGTCATCCGACTCCTGCAACCAAACAAAAACAAGACCATCAACTTCTTGTATGTGATTATTTGTTTTTGAAAAAAAACTTTAGTTTCTATTATGGAAGAGATTTTAGATTTGACGGACTTTATTACAATACATCTGCAGCTAATACCAAAAATATAACAGTCTCAAGTGTGAGGAAACGTGCATCTAATAAAAGTGTATCGATTCGCGATGTTCAAAAATATATTCTTTTTACAAAAAGTGCAGATAATCGACACAATAACAAAACACCCAAATTTGTTGATCTATGATAATAAATTTAATATCTCTGCTTGCATAACAATTTTGGATAGTCTCTCGACCGAGAGAAGAATTTTCTACAAACAAAATTCTCAAAAAATGTTTAAAGAAGTTGACGCTCGTTTTTTGTTTGGCATGACTGCAATGAGTGGATGATGAAGAAATTGGAATCATGCGTGGATGATTCATTCAAATAATATTTGTTTTATGTTCTGGAACTTAATTATTAGATTGTGTGTATCTCTTCTTTGCAAGAAATCATAACAATGAAAATAATCATTAAATCTTCTTTCTCTCGATCGGTCGTTATCTTGTGATAAAGGATTAATAACTCAATCAAATAGTAATACACGCACAAAAAGAGAGGTAATTTACACTTTTCAAAAAATCATTTTGTAACTGACACAAACATTACTTAAAATGTGAATTACTACATTCTAAAAACCACTGTAAAATAAACAATACTTACGAACTTCACAACATCAGCAGGACTCAAATACATCTAATCAATAATAGATTCATCACTAAATCTATCTACAAATTCTTAAAATGCCAACGTTTTTGCATAACAGATATTATATAGAATGCCTAATAAATCTTTCAAGTATTGTGCTATCAGCATCATAACAAAAGATTCAAAACATAATATATTATACATACATTATTCAAGCTAATGATTAAAAAAACTTGAACAACGGCAAAAAATTAATGTCCCCAAGGAAGCAGTCTTTGAAATATATTCAAACGTATTTAAAAACTGGAATTGGCCTGTCCGATGTTGTCATAAAACCTCAAGTATGTTTGATCACGCAAAATCAAAAATCTCCCCTCAAGACAACTGTTGGTTTAAGGTACACCAGGCGTCTTCGTGACCGTGACCAGAATATACAATCGAAAAGCACAATTTTGGCTCAGTTTAATTTAATTGCGACGAAAAGGTGGAACACAATTTAAATAATTATTCAAGATCTGATTAAATTCATTTAAAATAATATTTCTGAATTATAGGTTCATTATAAAGAACCGCAAACGTATTATTTTATGGAACTAATTCATAAGAAGAATACATAAGAAAAAAATATTAATTCTGAAAATAATTGCGAAGACTTTAGGAATAATTAGGATTGGAAAAGTAAAAGCTATAGTAAACCAGAAAAAAAAGAGTTTACAATTTTGACTTAGTCAGTCCATGGTTAATGAATTTTTATAATTAAACAACTATTTGTAGATCCATAACATTTCAGAATGTTCGTTAAGACCATGAACTGAAAGGTTTCATCAAAATTGTATAATATAAAAAAAATGCTAATAAAAATGTCTTGTATTAAACTGCGATTGACCTAAACTCGACCGTTGATTTTTTCTTATATCTTTTGATAACAAATCATCTGCTTGTATAACTTCCGTTTGATACACTTTCATAATTGTCTTATTGCCATTATCTGAATTTAAAATGTAACAAAATCCCACCTGGATGTCTTCAATTATACTGTGACGATGCTTATCGTCGAAAAGAACGAGGCGTAGCGGCCGTTCGATGTAATTTGACATTATCAATTATTGCTAACAGCTCGATCGAGCATCGAATATATAAAATCGCGAACATAAAGTGTCCGAAATTCATTTTCAGGAGGATACAGGGCTGTATTTTAATAATTAATATATTAGTTATATTCTCAACATGCACGTCACAAACCGATATAACTTTGTTTGCAATCTATACAACAAATCTTACGTTAGCGACGAATCTGAACCTACTTAAGATTTACTAAAACAATTCAAATCTTCGACACCTTAGTATTGAAGAGATCATGTCAATTTTCGGTTAAAAAAAACTTTTAATAAAATTTTTAAAACGTTTTAATAAAATAATAATAGTAATGATAATAATAACAATAGATGCACTCAAAAAAATATTATTTTGAGTTAAATAATAGTTGTACTTAAAAAGTTTAATAATAGATGCACTTAACAAAATATTATTTTGAGTTTTTAGTTTAGTTTGAATAATAAATTTGAAAAAAAAAGAGCTTTATCGTTGAGACGTATTTTGTATCCGGTCCCTGGTGGTTCAATCGCATTAAAAAATACTAATATTTTTAAAATCTAATCCTGACCTGAAGGTACAAGAAGAAGGACCAGAACAGGTGACCGAAATTGGCACGCGATCCATTTCAAATTATTCACGACCGATAAAAATCATGTATCGGAAGCAAAAGGATAAGACAATATTCAGAGCGTATAATGCCTTATAATCATGCTTAATTTTCATGTTTTTTTTTAATTTAATTTTCCTTCATTCAGGAGAAACCTATTTTGAAATTGCCTGCGATCAGTACTATGTGTTCTATGAGCTGACTTTGCTATCTACTTCCTAATCTAGTATTTTTCTCAAAAAAGCAACCCAGTGGTCAACCGCTCTTCTATTTTATGTCAAGACCTTATATATTAAATATGTATATCTAATAGAGTGAGCTTACACAAGAAGCAGCAATTCTCATAATTTTTAATTGACATAATATTTGAGATCTCTATCTTTATAAGAAAATTTAATACGACTTGATATCAAGCTGGCCGAAGTTGAGATTAATCCTGCTTTGTGCTAGCCAATGTTCTTAACAATTAGAAGTTTTTATATCAAGAATGAACTATCTTAATTAACCAATTAACGCTGACATTATTATTTATTTTGTACCTAAGAAATAATTTTGAATATATGTAACTAATTCCAATAAAGAAAAATGAGCAAATTAAGCTTCGGTTTTCAAAACTGTATTTCAATATTCATATTCCAAAAATTGTATCACAATTTATCGTATTTTTATAATTGCCCCAAAATATTAAAATCATATTTTTTTAATTAAAAAGTAATCAACAGCAGTACGATGTTATTTATTAAATTGACCGGATATCGATATTTATTTAAAAATACCTACCACTAAAAAACTCATTAAAATTTTGAAAGTGCTGCCGATAAATATCTACAAAAATATTATTGCTTTATATTACTTTACCACCTGCATCATAACGAGATCATTTCATATAATACAATATCCAATTTTGTCAGCAATATAATAATTGTAATTACCATGATGGTAATCAATTGAATTACATCAATGGCAACAATATTTATTTCATGTTTTATGAATAATAACGACAATGGATAATAAATTATAAATAGATAAATAATGCACTAACCTGGTCATGGGCATGCCTAAGATATTCAGCAGAAGAAGATTCAGCCTTGATTTCCTCGACAGCTCTTTCCCAGTCTACTTCTTTCTTCAGAGACTATAAGTAAAGTTTTATATATAATAATTGCAAAATTAGTAATACTAAATGTTATTATAACATAGTTTTTCAATATTATAAACTGTGGGAATCATCAGGCTAATTTAAAATTTGGAAGCAGAATAATTACTAATTAACAATTTTTGCATCTATGCAGTTTCTATTATCTTACCAGAGGTACTTGCTGAACAGGTGGAAGACCCGATGGGCCAGGTAATGGATCTGGAGGTGCTTCTCTTTGCGGAGGTTGTGGAGGCGATGGAAGAGGTACGCTTGTCGAAGGCGGTGGTGCTGCCTGCGGCAAAGGTGGACCTCCTCCTGCAGAAGATGATAAAAGAGGCATACTCGTCGCAAGAGAAGCAGCAGCAACTTGGCTACTAGCAACACCGATACGAGTTGAATGCTCCGAGGACGAAGATATACTCATATTCAAACCTAATATAAAGTAAAAACAGTTAAAACATTGATAAAAGTTGATATTACAAAATTATTTAAGAGTTGATTTTTACTTACCGACATCTGTACAGTTAGAATGCTTGACCAATGGCGTAGATGTAGCATTACTAGAAGTATTATTGTTATTAATTGATTTTCCAAGGGTTGCAGGTGTTTCGTCATCATCAGTATCATCACAGGCCATGGGCGTACATGTCGCCGTTTCGGGAGGCTTTGCTCTGATTAATGACAGGGGTGATTGTTCCAATCGTGGTGGTGGGGTATAAGACTGCTCGGTTATGTTGTTCGTATGCCTTTTGATCGACTGAAAATAATAATAGATAAAAAAATGCATCAAATATTTCAAAACATCAGAAGATTTGAAATTGTAAAATAAAATTAGAGGACTAAAATAAATTACCGTATCTGAAATGTCTGCATGATGATTATTCTGTTTCCGGTCATGTCTGGTTAGAGTGTCTATGGAGATCCTGGACGTCTGGCTACTTTCGTTAGGCTGATGAAGTGTCGAGCCACTCACTGGCATTTGTTGGTTAATTTGACTACTATTTGTGTTCGTGCTATTTGTACTGGTCGAACCAAGAATAGGCCCTAACTGATTAATTGCCGTTGTTGTATTATTCTGGTGTCTTGTGATTGTTGAGGAAATAGACGTCGAAGCGCTGATGTTGTTAGTTGTGCTGTTTGAAGAAACTCCGGGAATTGGGGCAATCTGGTGAGTCTGCACACTTTCGGAGGGAGCATCGTGCATCATAGGCGCTGAAATCGTTGAGGAGGAGTTTGAGGTTGTGGTCGCGGCGTTCAAGTTCGTCATTTCGGCTAGACCTTTAACCTGGAAAGAGAAATAAAATTAAAAACGTATAATCAATCAAATCTGCATGTGATTTTACCAAATTACTATTGGAATTTATAACTTGTTTGAAAGCTGGTTAGCTCATACAACTGAGTCAAAGTTCCAAATCAAGCGTGGCCAATCGTGTGATGGACACTAATATGAAAAGTAATTTTCGCACTTGCTCCAAATACCTTAAGGCTCTCGGCTGTTTTGAGAAGGGCCGACAACTGGCAGTACTGCACGTTAACTTCGCCTTTGTACATGAACTCGACAAGCGTGCGCAACTCGGCGAAATGGACGTCCTTCAGAATCACGATCGGGTGTCGAGACGGATGGTCCAGGAACAGCGCTTGGAAATATGACGAACAAGCGGACAACACCACCTGGAAAAATAATACATTAGCAAATCTATTTTTACGTTATGCGGATAAAATTTATTTATTTAGAATTGTTATTTGAGACCACAGACAAGACAGCAATTAGACTTCCTAATAACACTAAACCGTCATCTGTTCCTCATTATTTTATAAATGTGATGAATTTACTGAATCAAAATAAACTATCTAGAATCAAATGGCATTAACAAAATACAGAAATAAAGAAAGAAAAAAATCTTGTTTGATCATTCAGAAAAAAAATTGTAATCAATAATAAAACTACTTTTGGGGGCGTCCATTAATCACGTGAGCGAGTTTTTAAGGATTTTAGGCTTTCTTTCTCCCCCTTGGTGATATTTGGTAATATTCAAAATTACCCCCCACCAAACATCACTGTATTTTTAGTTACGTGAAAAAACTGTAAAAAATAATTAATTTTTTTAAAAATGTTTAAACTTTTTTATAAAAAATAGTAAAAAAAAATAACTAGACGTGATATCTTGCTATACCTTTCCTTCCCCCACGTGATATTTCGTGTTTTTCTGTCAACCCCACCTCCCTCCCCATAAAAACCTCACGTGATTAAAAGACGCCCCCTTTCATGTTCCTTAAAATCTATTTTTAAGAACAAGTTAAGTGAACCGATAAATTTAAAAAACAATTTCTGAAATTTAAAATCAAAAATTCATATAAACAATAACGTATAAACACCATAGATATAGCTTTTTGTCAGTTTTCGTAACACATTGAGAGCCAATCAAAAAAACATGATTTATGGAAAATAATTGGTGCACCAATAATACCAAATCTTCACCATACACTTATTTGAAACATGTTATGTTACCACGGACTATACATAGCAATCTTATCCGAGAATAGGTTCATAAATTTGAAATTATTTTTTTTATTAATTCTACCCGAAGGACAGTGATTAGTTATGCAAAATTTTGAAAAATTACAAATTTTGGAGATACAATTACAATTTTCTTGGCGTCTATCCATGACAACTGGTAACATCTAGGTAGCAAAATTGAAAATACCATTGTCGATTTGAAATTTGCTCAAACATTTGCATATCATCATCATTTCTCATGCATATTACATGCTCACGACTTGTATTTTGTGCGGGGGATCCGTATATGTGGCGATCAAGAAGCTTGTATTGCGATGATGCAATCTTTCGCCAAAAAAACAGCAACAAACGAACACGCATCATAATTACAAAATGTGGAAATATACCGGCCGCCAGTCAAAAATTTTGTCTAGCGAATAAATAAGCAAACAGAACGACCTTCGGTTCATAACGGATACATTTATAAGTTATAAGCATATTATTCGCAATGATTATAGACGAAAGGCTAATAGAAAATTTTTCCTACTAGACTATATGGGACTTTTGTTAAAAATATATTAAATTTAAATAACACAGACTGTTTGTTGTAAATACTATTCACAAGAATAATTTCTCCTAATTTGTTTTGCTGATGGTTCTTTATCCATCAAGTAAACATATATAACTAGTGGTGCATAGCATTTTTCTGGACCTCCGAAACCGATGGATCTGCCTTCCTGACAATTTTTTCAATTCTTCATTTCATCAATGTAATTGAAATGCATTTTGAATCATTCAAATCGGATTCTCCATTCTCTCAGAAAGTGATTTGCACTGTTTGCACTTTTAGCCCCCGAAACTGCTTCACTTGCCTTTGCCAAAAACTAATCAGCATCAATCTCCCTAGCAATAGGAATGGAAAGTTTTTTTTGAACAATTCAACTTAGTTGATCTTTGCTCTCCAAATCGTAGACAAAAATATTTATCCGCGCATACATATAAACTGGAATTTTACGGTTTATTAAAATTGCATGAAAAGCTTACAAAAGTGTACAGATAATTAAATAATTGCTTACAAAAAACCATACATAATCGAGACTCTAATGTGCGTTTGTGGAATCAAAAAATGTCTTACATTTCAATCAAGATATAGAAGCGAATATGGAATCGGACAGTAAACCATCAGAAATCCCAAAACTACGAAAGACCGTTATTGGATCCAGCAAATACAGCAAGATACCTCGCGAAGAAGGTCGGACCAATATGTTTACATCGGAAAAGGTCTCGCTGCGTTCAACTTCATCAGTTTCTGACTCAAGACAGGAAGTAATATCATCTAGTAATAGTGCATCTACAAGCCTCACTCAACCACATTCTGATGTCAAGAAACCTCCTAATTCATGGCAAGTAGTCAATTTCAAAAAAAGAAAAACTTCATTTGAACCATTAGGAATAGATGTCAAAATTCAAAACCGATTTTCGGCCCTTTCAACAATAGAAACAGCTAATGATGACAACTCAGTTAAACCGGCTCCAGTCAGTAAGCCCCCTCCAATATTTATTTACGGAGTTGACGATATTAATGATATGTCTAATCAATTAAATGAAATAATTCCGCACGATCAATATTTCCTGAGAAGTTTAGCTAACAATACATTTAAAATTCTATGTAATTCTGTCGACCATTTTCGAACTTTATCCAGACATCTAAAAGAAACTAATGCCGTATATCATACATATCAATTAAAAGAAGAGAAGGCTTATAGGGTTGTTCTTAGAAATGTACACTTTTCAACAAGCACAGATGCAATTAAATTAGAACTATTAAAACAGGGTCATGTCGTACGTAATATCCTAAATATTAGACATAGAATAACAAAAGAACCTCTTAATATGTTTTTTGTTGATCTGGAACCAAATAGAAATAACAAAAATATTTATAACATTTATAAATTATTTAACTGCATAATACGCGTCGAACCACCGAGAAAGTCCAACAACATTATACAATGCACTCGCTGTCAACTCTTTAATCACACCAAAAAATACTGCAATAGACCATTTGCTTGCCTAAAATGCGGTGACAATCATAATACTATAGCTTGTACCAAAGATCCGAATGCTCCGGCATGTTGTTATTTTTGCGACGGTGCTCATCCAGCTAATTATCGCGGTTGCTCATACTTCCAAAAAATTAAAGAACAAAGAAACAAAACTCCAGTAAATCAATCAGTCACAAATCCAGATCCAAATAACCAAAATTTTAAAAATTCTAATAATTCTAATTCTAATAATAAAATAAACAACATTTCTCCGGCCTTAAATCCAACAATTCAAAATTCATCCTATGCAGACATTGCAAAAAACAATTACTCTGCTTCTAATCATTCACCTTCAAATCCGGATTCTGATTCTCTAGCAACACTTATTTTAGAATTTAAAAATATCTTCAATCAGCTTTTGCAACAGAACACCATAATAATAAATATGTTATCCACGTTAGTCAACAACAAAAGCAATGGCAAAAATAATTAAAATTGCTGAATGGAATGCCAACGGTTTAATACCTCACAAAAATGAAGTAGAATGTTTTTTAAAGTTAAACTTAATAGATATCTTATTAATCTCAGAAACTCACTTCACTGAAAAAAACTACTTCAAAATTTATAACTACGCTACTTATAATTCAAATCACCCAAGTGGCAGGGCTCGCGGCGGTTCGGCTATATTAATCAAAAATAATATAAAGCATTTTGTTCTACCAAATATTTCTGATGATTTTCTACAAGCAACTCAAATTTCTGTTGAAACAAATTTATATAATTTTTGTGTTTCTGCTGTTTATTGTCCACCAAGATTCAAAATTTCTTGTGCTCAGTTTTCTTCATTTTTCTCTCAATTAGGTAATAAATTTATCATTGGTGGTGACTTTAATTGTAAACATATTGCCTGGGGTTCTAGACTGACTACAGCCAAAGGAAAGATTCTTCATGCAGCCATAGGGCAAAATAACCTTTCCTTTATTTCAACTTGCAGTCCAACTTATTGGCCTTCTGACCCTACTAAAGTTCCAGACCTTTTAGATTTTTTTATTGTGAAAGGTATTGATCTTTCAAATCTCAATATTGAATCTAGTTACGATCTCTCTTCAGATCATTCTCCAATACTTGTGACGTTTAGCACATTTCCTACTCCAGTTATCAACAATCATATTCTACACAACAATCTTTCTAACTGGATTCAATTCAAATCCATACTTGATTCAAAATTATTTCCAAAATCTAGGCCTACAAGCGTTATTGATATAGAAAATAATATAGATTATTTTTCTGAGATTGTACGTGAAACAACCAAGCAGATCACCCCGAACATTATCCAAGAAATGATAATCTAATAATTCCGCAAGAGATTAAGAAGCTAATTGCACAGAAACGAAGAGCAAGACGAACCTGGCAACATTCTCATCTACCAACGGATAAGACATCGCTCAATCATCTCAATAACTCGCTGAGGAAAAAAATGAAAGAATGGAAGAATTGTACATTCAGGTCGTATATATTGCAGTTAAATAGGTACGATAATTCCATATGGAAACCAATCAGAAACAAAAGTAAACCCCTACAACAAAACCCTCCTCTGAAAATAACCAACCAAAACGGATTCATTTGGGCAAAAAGCAACGAAGAAAAAGCGGAGGCATTTGCTGATCATCTAAGTAGCATTTTTAGCGCTCGAAATATTTCCCAGAATAATTTAATTAACAATTTCGTAAATCAACCCATACATTCTACACCGTTAGGACATTTTTCACCAAATGATGTCTTATGTGAAATAAAAAGGATAAAAAATAGATCTTCGCCGGGTATGGATAAAATTACTCCAAAGATGTTAAAAGAATTGCCTACAAAAGGTATCTTATATATAACAAATATTTTCAACGCCATACTTCAATACAATTATTGGCCCACAGCGTGGAAGACTGCAGAAATTATCATGATCGCTAAACCAAACAAAAACCATCACACTGCTAGTTCATACCGTCCTATCAGTCTTTTATCGATATTATCAAAAATTTTAGAGAGACTTTTGTTGCAGAGATTGTCAGAAGATCATCCGAATGATAGTTGGATTCCTCACCATCAGTTTGGCTTCAGAAAAAATCACTCTACAATTCAACAATGCAACAGAACGGTGTCTCGTATTCTTGAAGCCATGAATAGAAAGGAACACAGTGTAGCCGTATTCTTAGATGTCAGTCAGGCTTTCGATAAGGTTTGGCACTCAGGACTCCTATATAAAATCAAAACAACTTTTCCAAACTACTTTAATATCTTAAGCTCATATTTGCTTAATAGAAAATTTAGAATCAAAATTAAAGATGTGACTTCGAGCATCAGAAATATAGAATGCGGGGTACCACAGGGCAGTGTGCTAAGCCCTGTACTTTATCTTCTTTTCACAAACGATATGCCCACAGATGATCTTCTAACCATATGCACTTACGCCGATGACATAGCAATTATTTCATGCAATTCCGATATTAGAACAGCAACTTGTCAGTTACAAAATTATTTATCTAGTCTCGAAAAATGGTTTTTAGATTGGAATATCAAAATCAATATCGAAAAATCTCAGCACATAATTGTTTCTCTAAAACATCACAACAGCCCACCTATCATCATGAACAATTCAATAATTCCACTATGCAATTCTGTTAAATATTTAGGCATGCACATTGATTCGAAATTGACATGGAGAACGCACATTGAATATAAAAAGAAACAAATCCAACTGAAAATAAAAGATTTTTACTGGCTTTTTGGGAGGAAATCTGAAATCTCTCTCGATAACAAGGTACTTTTGTATAAAACTATCATAGTGCCCATTTGGACTTATGGAATCGAACTATGGGGTTGCTCTTGCAAATCTAACATAAACATTATTCAAAGGTGCCAGAATAAAATTCTGCGTATCCTTACTAATGCGCCTTGGTATATTTCGAATTTTTGCCTACATAAGGATTTGAAAATCTCAACAGTCAACGAAATGATCAAGATTAGAAGTTCATCTTTCAACAACAAATTAATCCAGCATACAAATCCTACAATTCAAGCGATTCAGAGACCGATAAGAAGATTGAGCAAGAAATGGCCTTCCGATCTACCAAACACCTAGCCCAATGTCTGCACGCGTCCTGACGTAGTACGCGGCATACATCATCACGTCATCGTTCATTTATGTTATTATTTTTGTATTACTGTTTTAATTTAATTTTTATTTTAACTTTTTTCATTTTGTATTCAATGTATTGCATTTTTTGTTTTTTTGTATTTTTTTTTTTTGCTCATATCAATTTTGTAAATAAGACATTAAAGTCTTGATTAACAAAAATAAATTGTAACAAAAAAAAAAAAAAAAAAAAAAAAAATACATATAAACATACACTCACATACAATTTATATAAGGTATGCCAAAATGTTCAGAAACCTGTGAAACATCATTTTCGATCTTTTTCTAATTACTATAACTTATTCCACAGGAAATTAAAATATAGATTAAAACTTAAGAAATTAAGCTAAAATTGAGCTTTAATAAAAATAGACTAAATGCTACATTCTATAAAATCCATAAAACTAAATTAAATAATAGTCCACATTTTTACTAAAATTACAATTGTTTACGCACGCCCAAACAACTAATACATCTCATTAAATTTATTCGCAGAATTCTCATTTTTTATCCATTTTACACGAAAAAGTGAAAGTGTTGTCTAGTTAAAATGCACACATTTTCGAAGAAATTTTAGGAACAATTTTATTTAAATTCATTTACATAAAAAATCCATCAGCACCTCGTCTATTTTGCAATTCGCGAACAATACGCGATTTTGCAATAGTTCTAAAAAACGACAGCTGTATTTGCTTAAAATACGGTTTTTGGATCGATTGAAATGGATATTTGATAAGGAAAATTGAGAAGAAGAAATCATATAAAAAATTCTATTAAAAATTATCACCACGTCCATTATAAAAATTATTTAGGAAGTAGCACTTTAAATTTAAAATGATACATGAGAAATAAAAATGAATCTACGAATCGGATGAGCAAACTACAAGATTATTTATATAAAATTTGAAAAAAATAATGGTAAGATTATGTATCTATATTTACTATTTTTATTAATTTTATTATTATTTAAGATATTTGCAACTGCAACTGTTACCTTCATATAGCAGAGTCGTCTATATAGTTTTTACGCGTGCCGACCTGATATGAATGAAATAAAAACTGACCATCTAAATTATAATCAATAAAGACCTAGTTTCCTAAGTAGGACAACAGGCGACTAACCTTAAATTCAGGAAAAAATCAATTTTCATATCGTGACGTTTTTCATCCAAGTTCCCTGTACAATAACGCGAGCTTAGAGAAGAGTTTTGACTGATACAAAAATAAGGAAATCAGGAATTAAATTATAATAAACAAAGAATAATAATCATAAAACCATAATTTTAATAACTTCTACATATCAATTATGAAATTAATTCAATTCAAGGAAAATAATTTATAATCTATTTTTGCCTTATAGAGATTCTATACATAATTTTTTTATTGCTCTAATAACTAAAATGTTCAAATATGTTAATAGTCACCCAGAATCGATTTTAATAGCAAACTTTATCAAAATAAAAAAAATCCAAAAGACAAAATAAAGCAAAGATACAAGATTTAATAATTTGTTATGTGTTTCTAATATTGCACTAAACATAAATATAATGCATTGACTCTTTCTGAGTCTCCTTGTTAGTATACTCCAAAAAAATCTATCAATAAAGTTTCTCATTGCCTACATTTATAATAATGAACGACGTACCGGCAAACAAGCGGATTGAACAAAAATATTATAAAATTTATTTTAAAAATTATTATTATATTTTACCTTATGCGCTCTGATAGAGGCCCCTTCTGAGCAGGCTAAGGTGACATCCACAAGACTCTCGTCATGAAGCAGCTGACTGAAAACCCCGAGCAAGTTACTCTGATGATTGTTCCATCTCAGGCAATAGTGCTCGCTTCCCATGTCTAAGCCAGCGTGCGCTGCTGGAAACGAAGGAAAAAATGACAATAATTAATAGAAATCTTTTGAAATATATTTAATTAAAATACCAATCATCATTATTATCAATTTAATACATGGTAGATTTTTTTTATTTGAGATTGTTTCTTTGTTGATTGAATTCGGTTAAAACTGAATTGCTGAAGCTTGGGTGGAGTGACTAGGGCGGATGCAGAGCACGCCATTATGGAGTGCAATGAGGGGAAAAGGGAGGGCAAGAACTATGGAGGGAGATAGTAAGGCACAAAATCACTCTCCCAACTAATTTTATAACATAATTTATATATGTATAATCTAATAAAATAAATACTGTAACATTGCATGACCATAACATATCTATTTATCCGAAAATTAAACTAAATTATATTACGTGTATAATATTAAGAATTCGTTTGTATCTGATTCCCCAGACTTTATTTATTTATTTTACGTCAGTTTTTTCGTTTTGTCCTTTTTTGAGCATGTTACAGGAAATAATGTAAATGACTTTTGCTCTAACCAAAGAACCTTGACAAGCGAGTCGTGCCTTGCATTCGATTAGCAAACACCGCATGCAAAAATTTGTATCGAAATTACAATTGCAAATATATGTTGCACGGCATTTTTACATATGGCCATTCATGAATTTTACTGCGATAATCTCGATTGATGCTTTTATTTATAGATTGAGCAATTTCAGTGAATCGAGCTGAATTCATTTGTAAATGAAAGTGAATTAATTGGGAGCAAATAATATTAGTACTATATCAAGTCTGTACAGATACTCCCAAGTTCCTTCTTGAATATACTTCCAAATTGAATATTTTCATAATCTTATTGTGTCTATCTATGAAGAATACAGCTATCTCTACGAAGCAGAACAGGTTATGTATTTTTTCAACAGATAGAAAAAAAGTCTCTAAGAATAATTTTTTATCTGCATTAAGCGAATAAGATTATTTTTTGTCACAGTACGCGGATATAAGACTTCAAGCTTTGGTAACTTGGGAAACCCCTGGCATGATTATATAAAAATCACTTCATTACATCAGTGCGAACGCATTACATAAACCAGCAAGTCATGAAAATGTACTAATTGTAAATTGTAAGATGAAGCTATTTTTGGCGAAGAGTCGGTGGAAAACTTACTCAAGATAATAAACAATAACTAGAGTAAAAACAATCAAGAAATCCTTGAAATGCAATTTTACACAGTCCTCATTTCATTCTGATATTTTTATTGTAATCACTACTGTAGTCCCTCTGGATTATGTGATTATCTATTTGTCTTCCTGAAAATTGTACCATAACCAGAAAACTTCCACAAAATATTGTAAATATTATCTATATCCTCTCAAACAACCATTACAATATCATGTACACTATTATATTTAAATGCAAGAAATTGGCTATATGCAGGTATAGTTAAAAAACTAGTGGGGTGGGTGGCATCGTGCCTTAAGGCAAATTGCTGGAACTTCCCGCACCGTAACGAAATGTTCGAGGAATATTGAATGTTTTCAAATAGATTATTATAAATATTGTAACATTGTGTAATTTTTATAAGAATTATATAAACCGAATTGCAGAGATGAAATTATTTGTAAAGTATATTAGAACTATAGTCAGAATTAAAAATAAAATCTGAAATATTTTCGATATACAAAATACTAAAAAAAAAAAAAAAAAAAAAAAAAAATTGGAACAAATTTTTTTTTCAAAATCAATTATTTTGTTAAGACAAGCAGAAAGTTCTTTGAATCATTTAAATCGGACGCTTAGTTCTCTCAAAAACTACCATTTTTTACATATTTAGCTCCGTATCTTCGAAATGGCTGGGCCTGCCTTTGCCAAAAAGTAATAAACACTTCTCCCAATCATTACTAATTGAATGTTTTTTAGATCATTCAAATCGGATACTCCGTTCGCTCAAAATTCGATTTCTATTTTCTGCACTCTTTGCTCCGTATCTCCGAAACGGCTGGACCTGCCTTTGCCAAAAACTAATCAGCTCTTTTCCCAATCAATAGGAATCGAATGTTTTTTGAACCATTCAAATCGGTTGATCCGTGCGCCCTAAAACGTGACTGGAAATTTGTATCCACACATACATACACACACACACACACACACACACACACACATCCATTTTTTCTGAGGTATGCCAAAACGTTCAGAAACCTTCAAAACGTCGAGAAATGTAAAAATTTTCAATTCCGATTTTCGGCCCATTACAATAACTTACCCTACGGGAAGTTAATTAAGAGAAAAAATACGTTTGTTAGTTTTCCACCATTTCTCTCTCCACATTCCCACATCTCTTCATAAAGTATATACCGGCTTCAATTTTATTACACGTCAATTGATATAGTTTATGTTATTAGATTATTTAAATGAATCTTCAACTATATTTATTTACATCAATGACATGGAGATAACTGCAAACTGTATATTATAGCGTTATTAAATGCGATGATTGCATTATTAGCGATCGTAATCTCTTCTTCATAAATTACGTAATAATGTATTCAGTGTGAATTTAAATAAAATCTGTGTAAAATTACCGCCTTTTACATAATAATTCATTTAGATATAATCGACTGTGTAATACATGTGGTGAAAAATTTGAAAACTGTTTTACAATGCGTGTGGTGGGATTAATTGTGTGTATATAAAGTATTAAATGTGTGGTTAAAGATAATACTTGGATATTATATCATATTTTCAGCAAATTATGGAGAAGTATACTTAGGTGTGAGTATGGACGTGATCTCTTTTATAGAGTACTGATACTGATAAGATAGTGTGGAACGTTAGCAATATTGTGGGCATTGGTAAAACATCTAGGATATAGGTTCCCAAACTTTTTTGTATCATGAACCCCCTAGCAAAGTTTTTTGTTTCAAGAAAATTCTTGTTTTTTGATAAAGGTTTCTTGCAAATTGTTATGAACCCCTTTGAGAATCAAAGTACAATCAAAAAACAAAATAAAAATAATAAAATCTGTATGTAAAAAAGTTCATATAAAGGATAGCATGTAGGTATATATTTTCACACCATTGAATATTTATTTCCAATAATTTTTGATAGTTCAAGTATTAAGATAATTGATGTAATAAAATTTTAATGACAAAGTATTTCAAAATATGGAAATCATTACATTACTTAAATGCAATATATTTCTCATTACAAAGTCTATGTTAGCATAATCATCAATCACACAACATTACAGTAAAATATTTATGGCTTTATTTTATATTGTAAAATTCATTCAAATTACAAACATAAAAAAGCCACTGTCCGTTACATCAATTATATAATACTCACATGAACTTGAGTTTTCCGCAAGTGATCATGGTCGTAGGAGAAATAATTTCACATTTATTTAATTTTCATTTATTTGATACATAAATATTTAGCAAAATTTATGATTTAGAAGTAACAGCCTCATTATTTACATAATGATTTTTGGGGTGAAAACTTCAAGAGAAAAAACTTCTTGAGGTCGAGGCAGTAAGAGCTTTTCAGCCCTTTGAAGAGGTCAAAGGTACCCCATATAGTAAATAAAAATCAGATCATGTATTGTTAGCTATAACAATTCTTCCCATATATCGACAATATCGTTAAGTACAGATCAGTAATATTCGTTAGGAAACAAGGGGTATGCAAATACAGTAATTTTCCACAAATACATACTTGTAACTATTTCTAAGTTATTAAATAGGTTTAATTATAAAAATATTCTTGGTTTCATTCCTTAGTTAATAACCTTCACAGGTAATTACAGGTGTTTAAGAGGTCGAGTTAGAGTGTTAAAGCGATTTCTTCATATTGGGGAGGCCATGCTAAAATATATACTACTTAGTAGGATCGTCTATAAAGAAAGAACCCTTCAACCTCTATTCGCCACAATATAATTAATAGCTGTTTTATGTAATTGTACTAATTTTAAAATATAGTACTAGTATCAAGAATAAAAATGCTGTTATAAATATCTAACAAATAAAAAAATACTAATAAAATATAAATATAAATAACATTGGTTGTTAGAAAATAGAACTTACATATTATTTTTAAGTTGTTTCTTGTTTGTTAAGAAAAAGTACCACCTGCATAAATTTTCTTTAAGTTTTGCTGCAATTTATTCGTAGCATGCGTAAGAGTTACATTTCCGCAAATAGAAGAAAGTTATAATGATGTCAGTTAGAAAATGTTGAGAATCATTTCTCTCGCAGTTACCTTATCTACTTGAGCTACGCCAATGGGAGCAAATATTATTATGTGCGATAAATATAAACATATATAGTTGTGTGTATGTTTAGCAAGCGCGTGCGCCTTATAAAATCGTCGAGCTGTCAATGTCAGCTGATCGCCTTGAACTTGACTTGAATGTGTGCAATATAATGTAATAATGTTAGCTTTAAAGATGCATGAGCTAATAATATGCACTCTTGTTAAGAGGCCCGCACGTCTGCCTGCGCAACGCGACGCACAATGCACAATGCACAACAAAACGCAACCAATGCTTAGACGAGGAATCGATTTTCATTATTGCATCCAATTCGAAGTTTTCCATAAAAAACTATATTGGATAGTTGGCTAATTAAAAATTTCATTGATGTAAATTCATAAAATTTATACCATCTTTCACTAGCATCCATCAACTGGAATGGCATTCGATTTAGACATACCTAAGTACTACCAAAAATTTGTAGATGTTCCATATAGAGAATAGGTGTAGATATTAAAAAAAGAAGCTATATTAGATAGTTGGCTTATTAAAATTTCATTGTTATAAATTCATAACTTTTATACCATCATACCACGATGTTCAACCCAACCACTGGATTGGCATTAGATTTAGACATACCTAAGTACTACCAAAAATTTGGTGATGGTCCGTATGGAATAGGTGGTAGAACAGGTACAGAAATAAAAAAAAATCTATATTGGATAGATGTCTTAATAAAAATTTCATTGTTATGAATTATTAATATACAATCGA